TACTCGCTCGTGTGCGCGACTATACTCTATTGTATACGGCAGCAACAAGCAATGGAAGATGCCAATGTGTGCCAAGGCTCATAGCCGGCTCGTCCACATGGAAGGCGTGCATGCTTTGACCTCAGCGGACCCTGTGAGGCGAACGTCCTGACTTCAGCCTCAAACCGGCATTTTCGCCCTGCAAGGAGACTGCACGCGGGATTGGGTTTTGGGTTTGGGTTTACGGGTAGGGGTTTCGGGGGTTTAGGGATTGCCCGAACCCCATAATTTAGGTTTAGGGTTTCCCAAGCCCTCAACCCTAAAAGGCCCTAGGTGTTTGGGTTTAGTCTTCAAGGGGTTGTGGGGTTAGGGTAGACCGAAGCTCAAAACCCTAAACCCTTTAGCCTTAACCGTAACCCTAAATGAGGTTTAAAGTTTAGGTGGGCTTTTGGGTGTCACTGGGTGGGGTCTAGGGCATTCGACACCATGATTCGACCGGAGAGCTTCTTGTCCAGCTCGGGAGACCTGCAAGAGCTGGATGTCCACCGACGAAGCGTCTGTGCAGTTGAGGCGGATCCTCGTGACTTCGATCTGCAACGCCGTGAAACCATCGTGTTTCCTGACATTGCTAGCAGTACCCACTGCTAAAAGGAAGGTGTGTGAGCTCCGCATTGCCGTGGTCAGCTGCGAGGGTCCGTGCCGTGTTGCCGTTCAGTGCCAAGCCAACAAATCCCTAGTAGCGCCAGTGGCCAGCAGGAAACGATAGGGGAACCTTGAAATAGCCCGCGATGGCTTGTGCCCCAATGCCCAAACCTCCATCGACCATCAGAAGACTTTGCCGAGCCGCGGAGGATCGGGACAAAGGTGTACTGAGGAACATAGCCTCGGTGGTTGAGGAATCTGTGGGATCTCGGGTCGCTTGACAAAGACACAACTTCGTAGCCAGATGCCATCGCTGACTTCTAGCTTCTACAAGGGCACTTTGAGATTAGCAAGGACCCGTTTGGGAGGACTTCCAATTCCGCGCACTCCCCCAAACCCTAAACCGTAAACAGGGTTCTCACTGAGGGCTCGGGCTCCGCAGGGTTGGGTCCTAACCCTGGTGATCTGGAAACAGTTGTTGCCTTGACATCACCAGTTCAGTAGCCCTGTCCCCCGAACAAGCCCACAAAAAGGGCACAGGTCTAGATAAGAATTATCTCATGTCAGGGGGCTACTTGGGGAGGTTGAACGGGTGCACCGGACACGAGATCCCCAGAGCTGAGAAGAAGTGATTGGGCGAACAGCCCTGAGCCCTAAACCCAAAAACCCTCAAGCCTCAACCCTAAACCCCAAACCCAAGGTTAGACCCTAAACCCCCACACTACAAGTTCCAGGGCTTTCAGGCATGCTGCGAATTCTGGTGCAGACAAGCCGCTGATGCAAATGTCCAGGCTCAGCACGGCTAAAGCCACCTCAGGTTTAGGGACCCCACCTGCGACCGTATGTTCACCTACTCTCCTTAAAAAGTTTAATCCTCAAAACCCCCCCCCCCCCCCCAAAAAAAAAAAAAAAAAACCTGAAGGCCCTTCAATCCTTCAACACGTCTCATCGCTCAGAGGCCTGGCCGCGAGCCCCCCCTCCAACAAAAACCCGAAACCCCTGCGACCCTAAGACCCTAGAACCCTAAAACCCTACAACCCTGAAACCCTAGAGTCCTAAAGCCCTAAAAGCCTAAAAAGCCCTAGAACCCTAACACCCAAAAAACCCTCTGCTGGCCACCGCGCGGCCCAGCGCCAGGGCGCTGCCTGGGGCGGCACGGTGTCGCGAGCCTTGCGCATGGGCGGCTCTCGAAAAGGTGTCCCCTTCTTGTGGGTACTTCAGTTTAGGGTTAAGGTTTAGGGTTTAGGGTTTAGGGTTTAGGGTTTAGGGTTTAGGGTTTAGGGTTTAGGGTTTAGGGTTCAGGGTTTAGCGTTTGGGGCGGGGGGGGTGATCATCGGGGAATGCTGTTGGTCCCTGTTCGTCAGTATTCCGACCCCTATACTCCCCTCAATAGAGCTGGTGGCGGCCATTTCCATTTTTCTAATCATGCACCACCCGTAGCACCCAAACCATAACAACCTATACCCTCAACCTTCAACCCACCGAAAGACCCCTAGGATGAAAACCATACTACGGAACCACGCATAACCCCATAGACAATAGCATACTCACTCCCATAGCAGCCCCACCTGATAGACAACCCGCTAGTAGCAACCCGAAACCCCTAACCGTAGAACATGGAAATGGTCTTCTCATCTGTAATAGGAATAAGGTTTAGGTATAAGGTAGTAAAATACGAAGCAAGAACATTTTTTTGTTGAAGGCTTACTTTTTCGGATTGATTAGATCGCCATATTCCTCTTCAATGTCCTTACTACTTTTGTTCATCCACACTCCATACATCAACACCATTGTCTACTGGTATAGCCCTCCTGCAGTTTATGACAATGGGATTGTAGCGCTAACTCCTTTGTGCAAGTGTATCCGTTTCTTAAGGCAACGGTCGGAAACAGTTGAGCCATCTAATTCCTTCTCGTTTTCGTCGTATCCGGTGATGTTGTTCATGTTGCCTCCCTTTTGTTTTTGATAATGCGACACTTCCTGAAGATTCTCGAAGGCAAAAGTTTTTGATGGAAGTTCTGCATAGAGGCCCAGGGGCCTTCATTTGAAGCATGTGTTCTTGACGACTCTCCGCACCCAATACATACAATCGCCAATGCTTATAAATAAGGAACCAGAACTACACTATACCCAAGTTCTTTTTGGATAATTGGCCTTACCAGCTCCCCAGACACGCTATGTACGCCCTACGTAAGGCTCAAGCAGTCGGGCACGTTGGGGTCCATTTGCAGTAGCCTGGGCACGGTGGGGCGCCGGGGTGCTTAGGAAGGGCATGAAGGGACTGAGATGATCTTCGAACCAACTTCAATGACACCATCCCACAGCTCATTTGGCCCGACTCTGGACATATTCATGTTACGGTACAAGTTTACTTCACATGCCCAGGGGCACGTCCGCAAGAAGAGCAGCCGGAAGCTACGCGCAAGGCTCATCAACGTCCCGTCATCACGGCTTCCGCGACTTGCGCGGGTGGCCGGTGCGATGAAGGGAGGCGTCAAGATGTATGGTATGGTTTGTGGCTGGGGGTGGGGGTGGGGCCGGGGTGAGGGGGGGGCGATGTAGGACTTCTGATGCCAAATTTGGCGCTTGCTGCGCTTTCCATAGGAATCTGATACACCCTGTAACTGGTGTTTCAAGCATCTTGGCAGCTGTGTTTTGAGCAGCTGGGTTTCAGGCCACGCTTCAGCCTAGCCTCAATCCGTTGCGCCACCTTCGAGTCTGAATCTCCACGATGCTGGCGTTGTTGCACCCTGAACCCTACAACCGCATCCCAGAATTCTAAACCATACAGACCTTAAGGCCTGGCATCCTTCCGTCTACAAACGGGCTCGAGCAGCGGCAAGGCCCTGAAGGATTGAAGCGCCTATTTGGAGATTCACGGGCCTTGTAATTGGGGGACTTCTGTCATGACTTGCTGAGAAAACCCTAAACCCTAAACCCCCAAACCTAAGTTTTTGGGCCCCTAAACTCTGCTTGTATCTGCCCATCCTTCGGGCTTGAGCTTTGGCAGCTGGTTCAGGGCGGTTTTGGGAAGTTAGGATTTATGGTCAAACCCTAAACCCAGGATGAGGCCCTGTGCTGACTGGGGCCTAGTTGAGTTGATGTGGAGCTCTGGCTTCCGAAACCTAAAACCTTAAAACCCTAAGGCCCTTGAACCCTACACCCCCAACGTCTTAAACCGCCAAGGCAGGGCACTTGCAGAGAGGTGTGTTACGAGCCCGCCGAACTTCTGTCAGCCAGAGGCTCTCATGACCCCGCCGGATTTTCCGAACTTTGCCTGCATTGGGCAAAGCCCCCAACGGTACACTCCCCGGGTTTTGGGTTTTGGGACAAACAATAGAACACAATCACGACCCAAGGTGGGTTCTGACTTGGGACTGCTGACTTGACATCATTGTGACATCATGCACTTCATATATGAGAAGGGTTCTTGTGATTGTCAAAACATTGTGTCAACAAGTAGGGGGTCTAACGTGCCAACTAAGAGGGGCTAGGTTGACATGCACCCGCGGCCGGGATCATGCGTTTTTTCTCGAAGCCTATTCGCATGTTGCATGGACATCGGCCGCTTTTCGCCATCCTCGAAACTGTCATCACTTTCTGGCTGCTGGCTTCTGGTTTCGTGAGATGCGAAATTGTCATTGTATGGATTTGAGACGTCTCGGCTCGCGAAATACAAAACTGTCGTCGCTTTTGGACTTCCCGCTCATCTCATCCGGCTTCCGCCTGTCGGCTGCAAGTCTCAACCGACCGGCTCTGTGCCGGATGCAAGTTACACCCGATGAATTCCTCATTCGTCTGGTACTGGCAATCTTCGGAGCTGCCATGCTCTTGGAATGCTCCTGAAGCGTACTTCTCCGGAGGGATGTTCTTCGAGCACTAACGGAATCTTGCCTGGAGCGCTTGGAGTGGTCTCGGTGTAGTCGGACGTGCTCTTGGACCAGTGGACGGTCTTTCATGTCCCCAATGCCCAATGGCCTCACACTATTTGTTGTCTACGCTGGCTGACATGTATGGGGCTTTGGGTTAGGACTTTAGGATTTATGTAGGGGGTTTGGGGCTTCGGGCCTTCTACAGGCGGTTAAGTTAAGGGTTCAAAGTTTTAGGGCATTGAGGGTTTCAGCTAAGGAGAGAGCACCGCTCCGTGCCACTTGGTCAGGCCCGTCCTGTTGACAGCCGCCGAGGGACGATAAACTCAGCGCATCAGCTACCGAGGCAGGGCTGGACTGCAGGGTTTAAGGGTCTAGGGTTTGGGGGTTTATGGTTGCGGGGTTTAGGGCTGCACCCCCTGCCTCAGCCTCTTGCGCCTCAGCCCCTAAGCCCTAAACCCTAAACCATAGACCCTAAACCCTAAACCCTAACGCCCTGAATCGCCTGGGTCAGGAGCTGCCAGAAGAAGCGCTGGGGCCCTTTCCTCGCAGCCAGGCTCGGCTTTAGGGTCTCAGGGTCTTCAGGGTTTTCAGGGTTTCGGGTTTTTGTAGGTTTTCAGGCTTTAGGGTGGTTAGGGCTTCAGGGCTTGTGGGGGTTCTAGGGCTTCCGGGCTTGAGGGCTTATGGTTGCAAGCTCCGAAGAGCCCTATCTGCCCAAAACAACCCCCAACCCGGTTTACCCGAAGCCCCTTAGGCTTCTGAAAGGGCTACACAGCCATCATCCCCATGCCAAGCTCTCGTGGACCTCGGGATCTTATTTGATGTGTTGTCAACGTCTCTCTCTCTCTCTCTCTCTCTCTCTCTCTCTCCCCCACGCATGACCCCCCCGAAGGGAGGACGCCCCCAGGGGCGCGTGCCAACGTCTTCTTCTTCTTCTTCTGCTGGGCTTAGGGGTGCCCCCCCGCGCTCGAAGCGCGCCCGAGGGTGAGTCAGGTCCAGTGAAACCACAGCTGCTAACGTCTCTCTCTCTCTCTTTCTGTTCTTTTTTGTGTGTGTGTGTGTGTGTGTGTGTGTGTGTTTTTTTTGGGCGGGGCGGGAGGCGCTTGCCCTAAACCCTTTAAGCCCTGAGATTTGGAGCTGAATCAAGCCGCCTCGCTGGAAGGGCCGGAAGCGCTCGTGACCGGGTCGCGGAGCCTCCGTGACCGGAACCTGGAGAGGGGGCCATGACATTGGGGACGCTTGAGAGCCCTTAGGGTCTGCAGGGGCTGATATCAGCGGCGTTTAGGCTTTTAGCACTATAATCTATCGTGAATTCTTGAGGTCCAGGGTTTTGGGTCAACCCTAAACCCTACACCCTAAACCTAAAGCCTAAGCCGGGTTCTTGAGTTTCTGAGAGAGGACTCTGGGGTCGGGTTTTTACAAGCAGTCTCTGGCTCAGCGCAAGGCGAGTGAGTTCCTCCGCCCCTGGCGCCCAACATTCCCATATCAAACTACCCTCCGCCCTCCGCCAACAATGAATGAACTACCCAAACCCTGCACACCCCAAAACCCGAAACCCTACACCCCAAACCCTAAACCCGAAACCCCAAAACCCGAAACCCCAAACCCTAAACCCCCCCTAGGCCCAAAGGCCTTCGCCGGCTTCGCCGGCTCCGAGGAGGCCGCGCCCTGGGCGGCGGCCTCTATCGGCGTTTCGGGCGCCTGCAGAAGGGGTCCTTAAGGTGGGGCTTTCGGGTCTTAGAATGAATTGAGGGTTTATGTGTTGGAACAACTTAAGAGTGGCTTTGAGCCCTGGGGGTACGGGACCTTTGTCATACTGGTACTGTAAAGACTGACCCGGATTTTGTTGAAATCTCAACCCCTGGACCCCGACCAGGGACCCCGATGAACTGAAGTGCAGGGCCGAGCGGGCCTAGCTAGGATGGCCCTTAAAACCTCTGAAAAATATTCCTGAATATGATCCTCTAAAAACCCAATGAGGGCAAACACATAAAATGTCCCAAGGACCTACCTAGAATCGCTTCATTGGGCCCAACCCCCCCCCCCCCTCGTGGCGAACTATCCCAGCCCCGGCCCTAAACTCTCAACCCTAAACCCCAAACCCCGCGCCAGCCCTGCTGGCCTTGGCCTTAGCATCGCTGCCGGCCGCACGGCTGGGCGCCTCGTGGCATCAAAGCGGGGTTTAGGGTTTAGAGTTTAGGGTTTAAGGTTTAGGGGTGGCCTTGGGTTTGGGGTTCAGGGCCTCGGACCTTTAGATCAACCTCCTCATATATTCTAGCAGGGAACCGAAAAGGGACCATGCCATTCTCTTCCAGATAGATGAGAGCTGCTCGAACTTATGATCCCGGTGAACGTGCAGACCTGAATACGTGAGGTTTGGACTCATTGGGCCCTTACACTTTGGGACTTGGGCTCAGGAACCGGGAGTCCGCACCGCCTTCTCGTGCGCACCCGAAGAGGACGAGGCGCCACCTTTCCTGCCGCGAGTTGGAGGCCAGTACAGAGCATTATGGAACTGGGTTTGCTCGGCAACGAGATGATGGGCTTGGGGTTTAGGCCTTATACGATACTCGGGCCCTAGAGAAACATACGTATGTGGGCCGGTGCCACCGTTCCTGCATTGGCGCAGAACCTTCTAACCCTCAACGTCCATTACAGGGCAGGGCCCCCCAAATAGTGCCTAGGGGTCTCGCAGGGCTTTGGGGGACTGTGTAAAACTGCTTCTCCTGTACCGTGTGGCCTGCTTCTCCTTTACCGAAAGACCTCAAGTTAAGCACCTGAAGCACCAACCCTATATCCTGATAGAATTCGTCTCAAGCCCAATAAGAGAGGATGTGCCATGTTCCGAGGGCCTGCCTTGCTCCAGAAGCACCAGAACCATGAACTCCTAAACCCTGTAAACCCCAAACCCCGAGAGTTCCACCCCCAAACATTTATGCGTGACCTTCGTATCCGCCGGGAGCGCTGCGTGGCGAGGTTCAGCTGCCTTGCAACGAAAGACACCCTAAGCCTTAGACCCTGACCAGAAGGGTTGACGGTTCACCAAACTGAGAGACATCCTTGGTGCATGTGTGCGGTTCTGCCAGCTCACCCCTCCGGGCCACGCGCGTGAGGCTGTTGAAATCGATGAGATACCTCGAGCATGTGGGGCCTATACGGGGAGGGGGGGAATCAACATTGGGGGGTCCCGCCTGTCGGCGGTTCCTACACAGGGGGCGCTCCAAAAGGCGCAACCTTCCTGAAACCTCTCTGGGACCTTTCCTGGGACCCCCCTAAGACGCCTGGGACCTGCCTGGGGCCCCCTCCCCTTTTTTGAGGCCTTTCCCGGCCCGCGCAAGCGTTTACAATTATGGGTTATCTTGGGTCTTCATTACTCTATATGCCTTATAGCTTATAATGCTACCAGATGGGTCCACAACTGAGATCGGCAAACTGCCTCTGCAGCTTCCTGCCCTGCAAAGGCCCTAAAGCTAATTCCCCAAGATCAGCAACCAAGCCGGAACCCCATGTAATTAATTCCACCCTAAACACTGAAAACCGTAAAAATGCAATTCCACCCTAAACCCTAAAAACCGTGAACACCCTAAAAACGAAAACCGTAAAAACCGTGAACACCCTAAAGACTCTATATTACAGAACCCTTAATAGAACAGAGAGCGTCGGCTTTGGCTGCAGTGATGCTGGGGGGGGCCACCTGTGGCCACCAAAGCGCAGCTCGCACGCCTGCAGCTGAGACGAGTGTTCTTTGAGGGTTAGGGTTGGTTCAGGGTTTAGGGTTTAGGGTGCAAGGGCCATTGAACCATGAAACCGTCGAAAACCTGGAGACGTGCCGTGTGACAGCTTAGGAACAAAACCTTTTCGGTTTGAGCGTGTAGTGTAGACGTAGGATAGAGGGTTTACAGTTGAGGATCCTTGGAAACTTCCACATTTTCTGAACTTCTAGCATACTGCTTTACATAGAGGGTCGGCCAGTGATGCCTCTTCACTTTTCCTCTCGGAGAGCCCCAAACATCCCCAAACCCAAAACCCTAAACCCCAAACCCTAAACAACAAACCCTAAACCCCAAACCCTAGAGCGCGCAAATGGCCTCCTTGCCAGCTGCCTGGGCCGCGTGGAGGCGAGCGTCGCTCTCTGCACTGAAGGGCACCCAACTGGCGAAGGACGAAGGATGGAAAAAACGAGGGACATTTCAGGCTTCAGGTTTCAAAAAACTATGGCTTACCAAACAGGCCCCTTAACCCGTAGTTGGAAGAGTATATATATATATATACGTACAATATGTATTAACTGGTTATTTGCGTGTTAGGGAAGCTGCTTTCGGGTGCTCTAACACTGAAGGGCTTGTGGTAGGGCTGAACCAGGGCCCTCCGTTTTGTCGAGGGTTTAGGACTTGGGCCTAGGTTTTCGGATTTGGCTAGGGTTCAAATAACGCGCGAACTCCACAGAGCAGACGTCCAGTTTCGCATGACATGCTAGACGCGGCTGTGGGCTGCATCGATTCTCTACACAAGCATTGTCCCACGTTCTTTCCTCGCATTAGAATTAAACATTCCATTGTCCACAACGAAGCTTGAGCTGGAGCCACAAGCACCATCTTGAGAGAAGAAGCGTCGCCGGAAACGCCCCTTGTCGCCCTCAAACTCCCACTCGCATGCCTGGCAATCATCACAGACGTGTTGCAGCAAGCGAGTGGGAAACTCTAAATTCCAACCTCAACCCAAAACCTGAAGTGGTTTAGGGTTTAGGGTCTCGAGTTCTGGATTTAGGGTTTGACGGTCAGGCCCTGGGGGGGGGGGGGGGTTAGTGGGGTACGTTACAGGTTGTCTTCTCAATGTCAGCTCTTCCTCCTTGTGAAAGCAATAACACCTTTGCCGCGCCCCATGAATGCTTGCAAACCCGATAACCTAGATTCTGTGTCTTTAAGGGGCGAAGGTTGCGATGTTCGGGAAGGTTGGACGTGTGCAGTCGACTGATTTGGCATCCAGTGCTTTAGGAGGCAGGATAGCCGTGGCTTGAGCTTTTGGAGCCCTCCGTTGCGCAGCAGATCTCCCCTCTCCCACCCTCCAGACCCACCTCTCGAGAGACGTGCGCCTGAGAATCCTGGCGGCAATACCGAAAACCCTTTGGACCCAAGGACTTGCAGGTTGTTTGCAGAGGAGCCCCACACTGCTTTAAAGGAACATACAGTAAACTCCAAACCCTAATCAGACCACTAGGCCACATAAGTTACTCACGACCTGCCAGCCTCAACCCTCAACCCTCTCGGACTTGCAACACGAGCCGACCCCAAGGTTTGCTCTAGAGTGTACTGAGGGTATAGAGTTTAGCGGTTTGGGGCAGCTTAGGGTTTCGGGTGCTGAAACTGAAACACCACAGGGCTTGCGCCCTGCAACGAAGACCTACAGGTGGTAGCCCCGGTTCCTCTCTTTCCAGGGCCAGGACGTCAAAATGTTGATCAATATATGACAATATATGTCATTCCGTCATTCCCAGAGATAATGTTAGCAAGCCAAACACCAGCGTAATCTGCGGAGTCTGGGTTGCCAATAGGAGCTGCGGTTGAGGGGTGAGGATCAGATCAGCAGCTAAACCCTAAACCCTGAACGTGCACACACTTTCACCCTAAACCCTATAAACCCGAGCCACTCCTTGGAACTCAGGAAGTACCAGGAGCCCTCTTCAAGCCCTTCCTAAGTCAATCACTTGACCCGAAGACTCTGTAAAGTCCCGAGCCCTAAACGAAGACTCTTTAAAATCCCGACGACGGTTAGGGTTTAAGCTTTAAGGGGTCCTAAGGGTTCTACTACTTGCACTGACAAGCCTCCAAATCTCACCGGTGGCCTCCAGCACGAGCCGAACGGCGCGCTCGACGTCGCCGCTGGCGGCGATGAGGGCCGCACGTGCGGACTCCTGGCATTGCAGGGAAGGTTTAGGGCTTAGGGCTTAGGCTTTACGAAGGTCTACAGAAACAAATCCCAGAAAATGAAAATCCTTCAACGTAAGGTCCCTCCTTTACCTCTCTTGAGCCTACGCGGAGCAGGGTTCGGCGCAAGTTGGGGGCTTCCGGTTTAAGCCCCTCCAGCCCCATCCCCAAACAAACCCTCAACACTCCTACCCGGACCGAATCCCTCGCCTGTGCCTTCACAACGTGGCATACTTTGTTACATGACTGAATATGCAATACAAAAAATCATACTGTTTTTCAGAGCCTGTTAGGAATTCCGGATGCCTCCCTTTATGGAAACATGGAAACACCATGTTGAGGTCAAACAAAAACAGCCCGTACTACCGCCTGGCACGTAATACCTGAATGGCCAATCCTTGAGGTTTCAGGCTTCTCTGCTTTTAGGGCTTTGGCTCCTTGTCCACGCCCATACTCAGGAGCTTCTCAAAGGGCTCGTATGAGCCTTGCAGAACAAGTTCATAGGTGGGCTTAAGGAATCGTACTTGAGAGCTGGGAATCGGACGGATTGTTCTGAATCGTCGGGGACTCTCAGAAGGACTCCTACCGTACGAAGTACCTCAAAAAGGCAGCCCGCTTAGGAAGAAACCCCGACCCCTGAAAACCTGAACCCCAAGAGCCTAAATCCCCGAACACCAAAACCCTGGACCCCCTGAGCTTCCAAACCCTAACCCCCGAAATCCAAAAGCCCTAACCCCGTGAACCCCAACCCTAAACCAGTGAACCCCACAACCCTAAACACCCAAAACACCTGAACCCCAAAACCCTAAATCCCGGAAAGCCCTAAACCCTGAGGCCCTGAAAACCCTAAAACCTAAACCCCTGAAAACCTCTCAAAAACCCCGAAAACCCTTGAAAAACCCCTGAAAACCCCTGAATACCCTAAAGCCCTGAACCCCCCAACACCCTGACGGCAACTTGAGCCCCGCACGCACGAAGCGCTTGGGCGCCTCGGCGACCTTTAGGGAACTGAGTCGTGTAGAGGGCTTTGGCGTATACTTGTGAGCTTTAAGAAGGTTCTTGTTTACAGCATAAGGTCTAGGGTTTCAGGGTTGAATGTTGAGGGCTTCCGGGTTTCAGGATTGGATATCTTAGCTCTTGCGGCTTCAGGCTTGAAGAGTTGAAGAAGGGTTTGGGGCCTAAGGTTCGGAGCTTGATTGGTTAGTCTTTCAGGTCTCAGTGTCGTTACTGCTCATGGTCATCGGCACACCCTTTCAGGGCGGGAGCAGCTTCGGGCATGATGCCAAGGAGTCCGCGCTAAAAACGCCCCTAAACCCGATAAGCCAAGACCTAAAACGTACAGGCAGCCCCTTCTATCTCAACAGATCAGGACATCTGCCATCAATCCATGAGCCGCTCTTGGATTTGAAGGTGTAGGGTTCCCAAGTGGCTTCATCTGTGCAAGGGCCGACTCAGGGTCTGGAGTTTTAGGTTTGCCGCGACATTTGCCCCTTGTTTACGGCTTTGAGTAACTCAGTACAAAACACGAGGCACCCTTGTGCGGCTACCCGCCCCCTGCTGGTGTGCCCACTGTGGCCGCTGAACCACAACTCCACAACTGACTGGGACCCGAGCAGATCCGATGCTGGACCTGCGCCGACAAAATCCAGCAACTACACACCGTCGAATCCCAAAAGGGCAAAACAAGACCACGGACCCTCAACCAGAAGCGCCATGAGGCCGATAAGCTCTTCGTGTCTAAGTCGAGAAGCCCCGTAAACCCCACAAACCTAAGCTACTCACCAGACTGGGAGTGCTTTGTTTCTTGGCTCTATTCGGGACGACTATCTGCAACAGTCTGGAGTCTTTACCCCCATTGGCCCATTGGCCCTAGAAGCTACTAGCCGCCAAGCTGACCCCAACGATCGACAACTGCTCTAAACAATCTTTAATATTTGTTTATGACCCTTTATCAACCTGTCAACTCCAACAAAGAACCAAAACACGAAACAGGCCCACAGTTCAGTCAGCACAAACTCAACCTGGATGCCCAAACCACACGAACTTTGCTCACACCATCATGCCCTAAGCCTCAAACCCCCGAACCTTAAAAGTTAAACAGAAGAGATCATGTGAGGCCGTGAGCCCAAACACAGGCAAACCCTGTAGACCCTGAGACCCTGAGACCCTAAACCCTAAACCCTAAACCCTAAACCCTAAATCCCCAAAGCGAAGGAAACCGCCGGCAGCCTCCTGGCGGGAGCCTGAGTGGGGGTCGGCGCGTGGCTCTCCGCGCCTGCGACCACGAGCTTCGGAGAGCCCAAACAGGGTTTAGGGTTTAGGGTTTAGGGTTTAGGGTTTAGGGCTTCGGCTAGTCCACTTGCATTTCTCGTAGAACCCTAGTAGAACCCCAAAAACCCTGAACCCTTGAGCCGAAACACACCCAAGACCCAAAACTGAAAACCCCGGAGAGGGCTCAAGATTACAATGTTTATAGGGCTTAAGGCTTGTAGGCGGGGGGGGGGGGGCTTGCAAAACTTGGTTGGTTAAGGGTTGCAAGTTGGAAGGTTTAGGATTCAGATGGTTTTGGTCTCGCAAGCCTTTGCAATCTAGGGTCCCAGGGTTCGAGGGGGCTCGAGCATCACATTTCAGAGATTGCCCCCCAAGCCGGCAGCCAGTTAGGTTCAGGGCTTGGGGCTTAGGGTTATAGTCTCCTTGCGATGATACATGGTGCAAGCTTCGGGGCGGTTACCCTAAACCCTAAACCCTAAACCCTAAACCCTAAACCCTACACCCTACACCCTAAACCCTAAGCGCTCCCGAACTCAAAGACCTTGCTCCATGGCCCCGAACACGCTGCCTCCGAGAGATCGGCGACAGGCGGGCCCTGTCAAGGCGTCCGGGCTGCTTTCGAATTCGAAGCCCTTCTTGGGGTCTCTTTTTTCTTAGTTGTCCAGTATCCTGGGGGAACTAAAGGTTAACCTGTGGGATTCTAAGGGGATTCTAATACCCCCAAAAAGGTTAAAGGTTACCTACTCTACTACTAGGTTTTTGTGCAGCTTCTACTTATTGCGTCTTCGTGTTTGGGTTTCGGTGTAGGGTTTGGATCAACACCCCATTGAGGAGACAGGTCTGATCTGTCGACCTGATGCGTTTTAGGGTTTAGGGGCTTAAGGTTCAAGGCGCTCCAAACTTATCCCTTGTTTGGGTGCCTTAGATTTAAACGAACCCCGAAGTCCAGCAGCCAAAGCGCAATTTACTCAGGGCTCGTGAGGTTGCGAGGCTTCGTGCTCGCTACCAGCGTTTCAAGCTTGAGAGGTATGGTTTAGGGGGCCTAGGGTTTAGGGCTTTATGGTTTAGGGGGCTTAGGGTTTAGGGTTTAGGGGGGTTAAGCCTGAAGGCTATCTGAAAGTCTTCTACGGATCATCAGATACTTTCAGCCTTGGTCGAGGACTCCACACTATGACCCTTGGACCCACCAAGTTCTCCAAATCAACCCCTGGACGCTCAACTGCAAAACCCTCCCAACATCCTTCTGCCCCCTCCCCCCAAAAAACAATACTCTAACCTGCCCCCCTCCCCCCCCCAACACAGATCGAACAAACCAAACTGGAGCCCTAAAACCGCCAGGTCGTGGGAGCTCAAAGGGTGCACTCGGCCACCCTCAACCCTGGAATTCGTAAACCAGACACCCTAAAGCATAAACGATCTAAAGCCTCCCAACCCAAAAACCCTCTAAATGCACTGGAGGGCAAAACCTAAATAACAATCTGTAGCCGCAAGAACCTGAACTCCTTCAAAACCACCCCAAGCCCCCTGTGAAGGCACAGCCTAAACCCGACGAAATCCTAAATCACCCCACCCTTCACCCCATCCCACCACAAAAAGACACTAAACTCTCAACCCTTATAATCCCCTTATAAGCCCTTGAACCCTAAAACCCTAAAACCCTAAAGCCCTCAAACACTAAAACCCTAACAGTGAAACCCTAAAACGCCCGAATCCCTAGACGGTGCTCAGGGCCGCACCGCTCGGCTGGGTGAAGCCGGTGACCGGCCGATCCTTTCAGAGGACTGCGGGTGGGGACTTGGAGGCCTTAGGGGGTTTTTCGGGGGTTTAGGGTTTAGGGTTTAGGGTTTATTCTAGGAGTTCTGCTCTTAAGATCTCTTAAGGGCCACAGGGTTTTGGGTTTCAGGGTCAAGTAAGCAAGCTTCAGGTTTGTTGTCATTTCAAACGCTCGCGTTCTGCAACTTAAGGTCTGGGGCACTGAAGCATGGGTTTTGAAGTGTGGCCCAAGCCCACCGAAGTCTTGGAAAGCTTCATGGGTGGCTACGTTTAGTGCGACGGGCTTAGGTACCAACAACAATTTGCTAAGAATGCCTTTCGCACACTGATTAGGAATAAGAACCCAATAAGGAATAAAAAGTAAGATTCTCATTAGGAAAAAGAGCCCAATAAGGAATAACAAGTAAGATCCTCATAGGAAGAAGAACCCAATAAGGAACAAAAGGTAAGATCCATCTCCCTGCAGACCCCCGGCGCGAGGGTGCCGAGGCTGCCGCTGCCAGGGAGGTCCGGCGCCCAGAGCCGCTGGAACCTCCGCAAGGAGACCCCTTGGAGTCTATGAAGCCGCATCAAAGATGGGAAAATCCGTTTTCCATGGGTCTGGGATACTAGGTCCTAACGTGCCAGTCCTGGAAATTCCAAAGTAGGGAGTCGGGCTTAGGGGTTTAGGGTTTTTGCCGTTTTTGCCGGGAGCCATCACGCTTCTCTTCATCAAGCTGTGGCCCCTTGAATGCCTAGCAGAGGTTGCCCTGCAATCCAAGACAGAAAAGCTTCACCCTTCCTTAAAGTTCCAGAAGAAATGGCTGGGAATCCCAGAGCAGCCTCAAGCCCCAAGAGTCCTCAATCCGAGACTTTCCTCCGAATGCTCCGCACCCAGCACCTCAAATCCCAAACATCAACCCAACAACAGCTCCCAAAAAGGGCCTGGGCCCCATAAAACCCTACAACTCTAGACCGCAAACCCTTTCATTTCAAACCTTACACATCCCTAGACCCGCACTTCCCCCCACTCCCGCTGCCTTGGCCGGCACTGTACCCGCCGTTGGCCTCCAGTCGCAGTCGGACGTCAGACTGGAAAATTGAGGTTTAAGAACTTAAGGTCACCTTTTAGGCTTTAGGGCACCGCAGGTTGTCCAACCTAGGGTGGAGGAATGGGTGTAGGGTTCAACGAGGCGTTGCATGGGTGATGCAGGCTGAGCCGAGGCGCGGGATTCAGCGGCCGATCATCCGGGTTGCGTATCCTCCCGCTCAATGGGGGACAAGCAGCCAGGGGGAGCCCAGTTGATGTGATCGTAAGCCCCTTTCTCTGTTGGCTAGCCTTGCAAATGGAAGCCCACAAGCCCAGAACCAACAGGAGGTAAAAGGGTAGCACTGGGCCTGGACTTGGAACCTGGCTGAGAGGCCAAAAGTAGGCATCCCAACCCCCAAAACCCCATTAAAACCCCACAGGCCCCAAAGAGAGCCTAACTCTTGAATCCCCCGCTGCTTGGGCCGCCTTCGGGGCCGATCGGGCGATGTGTGGACGACCACTTCCTGCCTCAAGGAGCCAAGGGGTTTCGGGGATTTTTAAGGCTCAGGGCTTTCGGGCAACTAGGGCCCGGGCCCGAAAACCCTGAACCCCCAAACCCTTCAACTCATAAACTCTGAACACCCAAAGCCCTAGATCTGAAGCTTCCGGGAACTGGGACCGTAAGATGTTTGCAGGGATTCGGGTCAGTTATAAAGTGCCCCAAAGAGTTCACCACAATTAGAGGTCTCAGATCTACTTCAACAGCCCCGAACCCCTCAACCCTCAGGCCTTCAAAACGCTAAGGCCTTGAGGCCTGAACACTTGAGCCCTTGACCTTCTCGGGTTTAGGGGGTGTGCATGGGCACCCGGCTTGGCCAGGTCGTGTGCCAAGGAGGTCGTGGGCCTTCCGGAGCCGGCTTGGGACAGGAGCCTTACAGAAACCACATCAGCCTGAGACGCTTGGAGTAAACTCAAAAACCCTAAGCCCGTCGTGAATCCCCGTGTGCATCCCCGTTGGACCAGCCAAACCTAAAGCATGACTGTCATAGTTCTGCTAGAGAAGGGAAACCCGAACCCTGCAAAGCATGCATCCCAAACTGTACGACAGTAGTACGCTAAAATACCTAAACGACGCAGTTTGCGATGTGATGAGTTTTATGGGATTCCCGATCCCATGCTCGGAGGCCTCGTCTCATGAGCCTTGCCATCAGAGCCTGTCGACCCCGCCGTCGGTGCACCAGGGACATGTTCAGGTCTTAGGGTTTAGCCCGGTCAACCCCTGAACCCCCAACGCAAGCTCCTCAGGGCACAGGGGGCGAATTCTGAGCTCAGGTTTATGGGGTGCTACATGTGCCAGGATTGCCATGTGGCTAGCCATGTAGGTGTGTGCTCCTGGCTGGTTACTCAAAGTGGAATAATATTTAGCGCCTGCTCGAACTACGGTGCCATGCCTGGCATCGGTTTTGAGCTTAGGCTTTCAAAATCCTTAAGCCCCTACGACCCCAATCCTAAAGCAGCAACACTTGCCTTTGCGCTCGAGGTAACCCGCTCCTTCTCTCTTCCTCTTCTTCCTCTTCTTCTTCTTCTTCTTCTTCTTATGCTTCTGCTTCTTCTTCTGATTCTGCTTCTTCTTTTGAGGAGCCCCGAACCGCCCGCGCGCAGCACGGGCCCACAGTCCGTGTCTTCGTGTAACTTTCCTTCTTTCTCTGTCTTTCTTCTTTCTTTCTCTGTCTCTCTTTCAGGGGCTCAGAATCTCTCTTTCTTTTGCAAACCGCAGCCAGCCTAGAATGAAGACCGGGGCAGTGTCATTCTCCCAACTCTTGCTCTTCTCCGGCCTGCCGGAGCTTCTGCAACCAGGCTTGATGCGGAAAGCTGAAAGCCATGCGACCGCAACTTCATCGACGGCATGCGTGCTTCCCAAAACGGCTCAAGACTTCGACAGTGTTGCAAACCCGATCTTCACTGCCTCATGGACGGGACCCTAACAAGGTTTTGGTTTAGGACCCCAGAACCCCCTCGAGCCCTCAAGGCCCCCAGAGCCGTCGAAGCCTGAGCACTATCTAACTACTCGTTCACCCAGCCCTGCTTCGGTGTGTTTTCTATGCCAAACCCTTTTAGCCCTAAACCCTAAACCCAAAAAAACCCTCAAAAACTGGGACCAGGGCGTTGTTGGCAGGCCAGGCGCTGGAGGCACATCCCAGGCCTCATTGGCTTCGGGGTCTTATTATAGGGGGGGGGGGGGTTAATGTTAACGTGCATTCACAAATGGGTCTTATTATAGGGGGGGTTAATGTTAATACTCATAATATTAATGATATTCATGATATTCATAATAAATATTAATAATACTCATGATAACAAACCCTCATATCAATACTATCGTTTACGTGGCAGTCACAAATGGGGGTGAGAATTGCAAGATTCGGCCGGCCCGGGGGGTCCTTCCTTGTTTGGGGCTCGAAAACAAATCCGGAAAGGGCACCCCTTACCGGCCTCGGAGGTGACAATAGAACAAATCGATCCTCCCCTTAGAACCTTACATGCTCCCCTTCGAAGCTTAATCACATAATACTTTTATTATTTTCTTGGGTTTTATATAACAAAAAAATCCCAAGGGGTATATAGAAATAGCAGACCCTTCTTGACCAACAGACCCTCCCCCGGACCCTTCGATCCCCACCCCCCCTCTCCCGCCCCCCATTGCGTCGGGTTTAGGGGTTTCGAAATGGCAGGCCAAGCTCAACATCAAAGTTCCCCACAGCTTGCTCTTAAAGGGTCCCTCCCCCTCCCCCGGAACAAAAGGGGATCCTAACTTGGAGAACTAACTGACATTAACCGACCATGCAGGCCCCGTGTACCACAAACAAACTGAGCTGGCTGCCATCCTCAGCGCTGAGAATCAGGGGCTTTGCCCTACTTCAACGCTCATTTGTGGGTGGTTCGGAAGTGAGTTGTTGACAGAGATTGCGGGTGGGAGAAGCTCGTGGAATGCTCAGCCGGACGCAGCAAGGTTCATAACTAGCATAGTTCAATGACACATGACAAAGCCAAGCAATGTACTGTACGGTTGTGAGGAGTCAGAACTATGCAGCTCTCCCTTTTGCCGTGAACTCGAGCCGGCGGCGTGGCGATCGGAACCACGGATTCATGGGCACCCCACCCCTTCCTTCACCAAGAAGGTCAACTCACTTGTACGATTCTCTTATGTGGTTCTTTTGGGAGTTCACATTTCATTACAGAGCCTCGTGTGTAGGGAACCGGAAACAGGGCCCACAATTTAAAGCACTGCCTACATGAGATGACAGAATGATGGTTCGAGCAGGAGATCTCTGCAGCCGACAGGAGACCTCGTGGCAAACGCCGGGAACAAGTTTCGAGGCTGCCGCGTGCAAGCCAAAGGAGGGCAATGTGACTACACCCTAGCATAAACCCCGAACGCCCTGCCATGCATCCCGCACGACCTTCGAGGGCCTGAACTTTCCACGGTCTGCTAACTTCTGGTGTCTCTCTCCTTTGCAGCCTAAGCAATGCTAGGTCCACACTAAGCAAGGGAGGGAAAAGGGCATACCTTCATTACACTGTACAGTAGCTTGCTCGGTCACTCGCGAGCACAAGCCCGCCCTGAAAGGGAGTAGGATACACCCTTTACCCACGACCCTGAACCCAAAGTTGGAGCCTAACACCCTAAACCAAAGGTGGACCTAGAACACAAATAAGCTTCCTCTGGACTTTGTCCATGAGGGGCGGGCGCCGTCAGAGTTGGTCGCTGGTCCACAGAATCACCGGCGTCTGAGGTTCGAGGTTGCGTCGGCTATCCACACATTTAACTTGTCGCAGTGATGCCGGCGTGCTAGATGTACGCCCGCTCTGCATACTGTGTTCTGAGAGGCAAGTGGATATTGCCTAAAACTTGCCTAAACCACGCTAAGGGTACCAGCGTTGAGTTTGTTCGGCTTCCGGCATTTATGATGCAGGGTTACGGCGATTAACGCCTGGAATTCTTGGGTGGTTTAGGGTTCGCTAGGGGGTTGACACATGCTGACCCTCTCTGGGACGGCGGCAGAAGTGCAAAAAAGCGGATGCTTGGAACCTCAGCCCGCCAGCTCAGGCATGGCCTTTTTATCGAACTTCAAGTTGGTCACTTCCCATAGAACCCCAAAACCTTTCACAGTTTAGGAGCTAAAAACGTGGATGCCTCTCCGGCTCGGGCTTCGAAGCTCCGCACGCTCACCTAGCTACCAGGCAAAGATGTTGTCTCGTGCCTGCAAAAGGCCCTGGCCGCTGTGGCATCTGGGGTTCAGAGCTGTAGTCTTCTAGTTACTCTATAGACTATAGTCATTGAAGGAGCATTCCCGTGTCGAAGGCTCTATCTGCAACTCTCGGCATTTGCCTTTGTTGTTCTCGTGCGGTGCTGCCAGCTTTCGCGCCGTTGTCTCGACGCATTATATGAGTTGCTCCCGCATGAACTGAATTCTAGCCGCGCAAAAAAGTTTCTGGCCCTTACGTATGGCGTATGGTAGAGTGACTAGATATCACATCGGCTCAGGACATCTAGGGCGGATGGATGTAGAGCTGGCACTCGGCGGTGCCTCGTTACTCTCCGTGTGCGTGTGCCTGTCATCCATAACAGATGAAAAAAAACGACCCACGCGCAAGAGCGTTGGAAACAGAACTGGATTGCAAGACCGGCTCTACATCCCAATCTTATTGAACAGATCTGACGTTTGCCGCAGCTGCAGTGCTTTGAGCCCGGCCATGAGCTGATCGTCACAGCTGCAGTGCTTCCGGCCGTTAGGTGAAGATCCTGTATGTGTGGCCAACACCACACCTTTTTATGGCTGCCTCGACATCTTGCCACTGGTTTTTAGGGTTCAGGACTTCGGCTGACTACTAGCAGCTAGCACTGTAAACTATCGAAAAAGAATACATCGTGTGCCACTTCGCCCCACGGCCAGCAAGACTTCACGTGAAAAACGGCGCGGTATCTTCCGCGCTTGGCGGAGCAGGAGATGCCTCTGCACGAGAAGAGCGGCAAAGGCTTTTTGCGTTGGGTCCGGTGGAGAGCGCAGGCTGCCTGTGCGCGTGTGTGCGCTTTTGTGGGTGTGGCGTGCTTGTGCTTGTGCTTGTGCTTGTGCTTGTGCTTGTGCTTGTGCTTGTGCTTGTGCTTGTGCTTGTGCTTGTGCTTGTGCTTGTGCTTGTGCTTGTGCTTGTGCTTGTGCTTGTGCTTGTGCTTGTGCTTGTTCTTGTGCTTGTGCTTGTGCTTGTGCTTGTGCTTGTGCTTGTGCTTGTGCTTGTGCTTGTGCTTGTGCTTGTGCTTGTGCTTGTGCTTGTGCTTGTGCTTGTGCTTGTGCTTGTGCTTGTGCTTGTGCTTGTGCTTGTGCTTGTGCTTGTGCTTGTGCATGTGCTTGTGCTTGTGCTTGTGCTTGTGCTTGTGCTTGTGCTTGTGCTTGTGCTTGTGCTTGTGCTTGTGCTTGTGCTTGTGCTTGTGCTTGTGCTTGGGCTTGTGCTTGTGCTTGTGCTTGTGCTTGTGCTTGTGCTTGTGCTTGTGCTTGTGCTTGTGCTTGTGCTTGTGCTTGTGCTTGTGCTTGTGCTTGCGTGCGCTACGCGGCACGAGCTCCCTGTGAAGTGTGTGGGTGGGTGGGTGGGGGGTGGGTGGGGGGCTGGGGGGAGGTGAGTTTGTGGCGTGAGTGAGTGCGCGTCGTTGAGTGAGTGAGGAGTGCGGTGAGTGAGTGCGTGCGTGCACGTGAGTGAGGTGCGGAGTGCGTGCGTGCGTGAGTGAAGTGAGGGCGTGAGGTGAGTGATGCCGGAGTCGATGTGAGATGAGTGCGTGAGTGCGTTGCGTGAGGGCGTGCGTGCGTGCGTGGCGGGCGTGGCGTGCGTGCGTGCGTGGTGCAGTGCGTGCGTGCGTGGTGCGTGCGTGCGTGAGTGAGGCGTGAGTGCTGAGTGAGTTGAGTGAGTGAGTGGTGAGGGAAGTGAGTCGTGAGTGCAGTGGAGTGCGTGAGTGAGTGTAGGTCGTGCGTGAGTGAGGGACGTGAGTGAGTGCAGTGAGTATGTTGATTGCAGTGGTGGTGCGTGAGATGAGTTCGTGATGGAGGTGAGTGAGTGAGGCGTGAGTGAGGAGTGATAGGGCGTGAGTGATGCGTGAGTGCTGAGTTGGCGTGATGTGAGTTAAGTGAGTGAGTTGAGTGACGTGGCGTGACGTGAGAGGGTGCGTGGAGTGTGCGGCTGTGCCGTGACGAGTGAGCGATGCGTAGAGGCGCGCGCGCGCGCCGCGCGCGTGCGTGCATGCGTGAGGGGCGTATTGCGCAGGAGTGGCGTGCGCTAGCGTGAGCGCGCTTGCGCGCTGTGGCTGTGAGTGAGTGTTCAGTGTGCGTGCGTGCGTGTGCGGGTGTGCGTGTGTGCGGGTGTGCGTGTGTGTGCGTGTGCGCGTGTGCGCGTGTGTGCGTGTGCGCGTGGGCGTGTGCGCGTGTGCGTGCGTGCGTGTGGGTTTGTGCGCGTGCGTGCGAGCGAGCGAGCGTGCGTGCGTGGGTGGGTGTGTGTGTGTTTAGGAGCTAAAAACGTGGATGCCTCTCCGGCTCGGGCTTCGAAGCTCCGCACGCTCACCTAGCTACCAGGCAAAGATGTTGTCTCGTGCCTGCAAAAGGCCCTGGCCGCTGTGGCATCTGGGGTTCAGAGCTGTAGTCTTCTAGTTACTCTATAGACTATAGTCATTGAAGGAGCATTCCCGTGTCGAAGGCTCTATCTGCAACTCTCGGCATTTGCCTTTGTTGTTCTCGTGCGGTGCTGCCAGCTTTCGCGCCGTTGTCTCGACGCATTATATGAGTTGCTCCCGCATGAACTGAATTCTAGCCGCTGACTTCCAAAAAAGTTTCTGGCCCTTACGTATGGCGTATGGTAGAGTGACTAGATATCACATCGGCTCAGGACATCTAGGGCGGATGGATGTAGAGCTGGCACTCGGCGGTGCCTCGTTACTCTCCGTGTGCGTGTGCCTGTCATCCATAACAGATGAAAAAAAACGACCCACGCGCAAGAGCGTTGGAAACAGAACTGGATTGCAAGACCGGCTCTACATCCCAATCTTATTGAACAGATCTGACGTTTGCCGCAGCTGCAGTGCTTTGAGCCCGGCCATGAGCTGATCGTCACAGCTGCAGTGCTTCCGGCCGTTAGGTGAAGATCCTGTATGTGTGGCCAACACCACACCTTTTTATGGCTGCCTCGACATCTTGCCACTGGTTTTTAGGGTTCAGGACTTCGGCTGACTACTAGCAGCTAGCACTGTAAACTATCGAAAAAGAATACATCGTGTGCCACTTCGCCCCACGGCCAGCAAGACTTCACGTGAAAAACGGCGCGGTATCTTCCGCGCTTGGCGGAGCAGGAGATGCCTCTGCACGAGAAGAGCGGCAAAGGCTTTTTGCGTTGGGTCCGGTGGAGAGCGCAGGCTGCCTGTGCGCGTGTGTGCGCTTTTGTGGGTGTGGCGTGCTTGTGCTTGTGCTTGTGCTTGTGCTTGTGCTTGTGCTTGTGCTTGTGCTTGTGCTTGTGCTTGTGCTTGTGCTTGTGCTTGTGCTTGTGCTTGTGCTTGTGCTTGTGCTTGTGCTTGTGCTTGTGCTTGTGCTTGTGCTTGTTTGTGCTTGTGCTTGTGCTTGTGCTTGTGCTTGTGCTTGTGCTTGTGCTTGTGCTTGTGCTTGTGCTTGTGCTTGTGCTTGTGCTTGTGCTTGTGGTTGTGCTTGTGCTTGTGCTTGTGCTTGTGCTTGTGCTTGTGCTTGTGCTTGTGCTTGTGCTTGTGCTTGTGCTTGTGCTTGTGCTTGTGCTTGTGCTTGTGCTTGTGCTTGTGCTTGTGCTTGTGCTTGTGCTTGTGCTTGTGCTTGTGCTGTGCTTGTGCTTGTGCTTGTGCTTGTGCTTGTGCTTGTGCTTGTGCTTGTGCTTGTGCTTGTGCTTGTGCTTGTGCTTGTGCTACGCGGCACGCGCGCGTGCAGTGTGTGGGTGGGTGGGGGGGTGGGTGGGTGTGGGTGGGGTGTGCGTGTGCGCGTGCGTGAGTGCGTGCGTGCGTGCGTGCGTGCGTGCGTGCGTGCGTGCGTTGCGTGCGTGCGTGCGTGCGTGCGTGCGTGCGTGCTGCGTGCGTGCGTGCGTGCGTGCTGGCGTGCGTGCGTGCGTGCGTGCGTGCGTGCGTGCGTGCGCGTGCGTGCGCGTGCGTGCGTGCGTGCGTGCGTGCGTGCGTGCGTGCGTGCGTGCGTGCGTGCGTGCGTGCGTGCGTGCGTGCGTGCGTGCGTGCGTGCGTGCGTGCGTGCGTGCGTGTGCGTGCGTGTGCGTGCGTGCGTGCGTGCGTGTGCGTGCGTGCGTGCGTGCGTGCGTGCGTGCGTGCGTGCGTGCGTGCGTGCGTGCGTGCGTGCGTGTGCGTGCGTGCGTGCGTGCGTGCGTGCGTGCGTGCGTGCGTGCGTGCGTGCGTGCTGCGTGCGTGCGTGCGTGCGTGCGTGCGTGCGTGCGTGCGTGCGTGCGTGCGTGCGTGCGTGCGTGCGTGCGTGCGTGCGCGTGTGCGTGTGCGTGCGCGTGCGCGTGCGTGCGCGCGCGCGCGCGCGCGCGGTGCGTGCATGCGTGCGGGCGTGCGCGTGGTGCGTGCGCGTGCGCGCGAGCGCGCGGCGTGTGCGTGTGCGGCGTGCGTGTGCGGTGTGCGGTGTGCGGGTGTGTGCGTGTGTGTGCGTGTGCGAGTGTGCGCGTGTGCGTGTGCGCGTGGGCGTGTGCGCGTGTGCGGCGTGCTGTGGGTTTGTGCGCGTGCGTGCGAGCGAGCGAGCGTGTGCGTGGGTGGGTGTGTGTGTGTTTAGGAGTAAAAAACGTGGATGCCTCTCCGGCTCGGGCTTCGAAGCTCCGCACGCTCACCTACTACCAGGCAAAGATGTTGTCTCGTGCCTGCAAAAGGCCCTGGCCGCTGTGGCATCTGGGGTTCAGAGCTGTAGTCTTCTAGTTACTCTATAGACTATAGTCATTGAAGGAGCATTCCCCGTGTCGAAGGCTCTATCTGCAACTCTCGGCATTTGCCTTTGTTGTTCCGTGCGGTGCTGCCAGCTTTCGCGCCGTTGTCTCGACGCATTATATGAGTTGCTCCCGCATGAACTGAATTCTAGCCGCTGACTTCCAAAAAAGTTCTGGCCCTTACGTATGGCGTATGGTAGAGTGACTAATATACATCGGCTCAGGACATCTAGGGCGGATGGATGTAGAGCTGGCACTCGGCGGTGCCTCGTTACTCTCAGTGGCGTGTGCCTGTCATCCATAAATAACAGATGAAAAAAAACGACCCACGCGCAAGAGCGTTGGAAACAGAACTGGATTGCAAGACCGGCTCTACATCCCAATCTTATTGAACAGATCTGACGTTTGCCGCAGCTGCAGTGCTTTGAGCCCGGCCATGAGCTGATCGTCACAGCTGCAGTGCTTCCGGCGTTAGGTGAAGATCCTGTATTGTGGCCAACACCACACCTTTTTATGGCTGCCTCGACATCTGCCACTGGTTTTTAGGGTTCAGGACTTCG